CCACCCGGGAGGAGGCGATGGAACCAGCCTCTCTGGAAACCAGTTCTCCCTCGCCGCCTTGCTGTCGCCGGGCCGGGAGAGGCGCCTTCGCAAGACCCCTGCCCTCCGGGAGAGTGGAGCTCCAGTAGAGCTCTCGGGAACGCTCAGTCACTCCCCTCCCAGCCCCAGGGTCTCTGGGTGGCGCAGGCGCCAGACCCAGGCGTCCCATTCCCTAACCCGTGCCCACCTTTTTCCCTTCCCCGGGGAAAATCAGCGGAGTGCAGTGCTCTCAGGTACTGAACGGTCATCTCGAGGATCTCCGCCTTCTCCAGCTTCCCGGAACTCTGCAAAAGGAGGAAGGGCCCCTCGCAGCGGCCTGGCGCCTGCTGGGCGGGCACTGTGGCTCTGGAGAGGACCAGCCAGCGGGCGCGGCAGCGGATCTGCGCCAGAGCCTGCTGAGGCTCGCCCTGTGCTCAGGCTCCCTGAGAGGGGCCCGCAAGTGAGGCCCTCTGTGTCTGCAGGCTCGGGCGTCTCCGCAGAGTGGCCGCAGAGGCCTCCCAAAGCCTGGCACCCGGCTCCGGGCCGCCAATGTTACCTGCTTCGCCAGGGCCATGGGCACCGTCTTGCCCAGCTCATTCAAGCAGCGATTGATCCTGTCCCTCCTCCGCTTTTCTATCACTTTATGCGAAACGGGGGTTCTCTGCGAACAGAGGGTTGTACGTTTAGGATGGCTTTGCCCGGGAAGTCGTCAAGGGCGCGGCTATAGCAGCTGCGTGCTAACCGCCTCTCCGGCCGCGCACACTGCTCAGATTCGCCCTAGGAAGGGACTCCTGGCCCGCCACGCTCGGGCCGTTTGAGCTCTGCCCTCTCACGACCGCGCTGGCGCGCTCCCCTTCCAGCCACCCTACCCAGGCCTTTGGGGAGGTGGCCACCAGCCTCTGGGCACGGACTCTCCCTGGTTCAGCACCCTCCTCTCTGTATCCCACCCCCTTCCCAAACCACTCGAGATTCCTCCACACTCAAAGTCCCGTGTAGGCACTTCCCTGCCATCGGTCCACACAAGTGGCGGGTCGCTGAGTCAGACGCCTCCACCACCAGGGCGCAAGTGCCATTTGGGCTCAGCCGACTCACTTTGCGTTCCTTGAGCTTGTCTGACATCCTGGTTAGTACGCGCCCTCGGGAGAGGCGGTGGCGCGGGGCACCCGTCCACTTTTCCGCCTCGTGTGCCTCCTCGAGTGTCCCAGGTAGACTGCAGCCTCCCAGCTCCGAGGGTTGCCTTATAAAGCGGCCATCTAGGGCTCCAAGTGCATTCACGAGTTGAATTATTCCATAGGATTAGGGGAGCTGCGTTTGGAGGATGTATGCATTCAAGATCAGTTTTAAAGAAGTTCAGAAAAAAAATTTAGCAGCCGAGGGGGGCGAGCTGGGGGCAGATCAGCTTTGTTAATCCACGTGGCCCTTCAAAGGACACGTGATCGGCCCGGGAATAACATTTGCATGGCAACAGCCCCGGCGGGAAAAGGAGGCGGTAAACGGGCCGGCGGGCGAGCGAGCGCCTGTAGCAGTCGCGGGCGCGGAGCGCAGGGGCGCAGTGGCCGCGGGCACCGGGGGGCGAGGACCCTCACAAAACAGCGTCGCCTCTTTTAGTCCCACCGCTGAGTCTCACACGATCGCCTGTTTACAAATCCCAGCAAGCCCGCCGTCCCAGCGCCGAGTGCGTTTTAAAGCCTGTCCAGAGTCATTAAAGTAATTAAGTAAGCCTTTAATAGGCTGTTCCGCCGGGTTCAAGGGAGAGCTCTTGGAGACGGAGGCGCCCCGTTTGTTCCCAGGCTTTTCTCACACGACTTGCTGACACGTCCTTCTCCCCCCTTTTTGTTTACACCGCTTTATTTGTCCGGACATCCCGGCAGGTGTGGGGCTGCGGCTGGCACACGAGGCTCCCGCCTCGCCTCGCCTCGCCCCTCCCGCCGCTGTTTGGCACGCGACGCTCCCCCCTACCCCCTGACCACGTCGCTGGCTTTCTTTTCTCCCCCCTCCCTCCGGCTCCCTCTTCGCAGGGGGAAGAGGCTCAATTTGTAGCCTATTATCCTATACGAAAATGTCCATTGAAAAGTATGAATAGTTTCATTGGGTTAAATTTTAATAATGCCAGAGGGTGGGGGAGGAGAGACTGGCGGGCGTCCGTGTGTGTTTGTGTGTGAAGGGGCGGGTGGGAGGATTGGGGGGCAACACGGAGAAGAGTGGGCCGAGAAGAAAAGGGGGAATGCAGCTGGCCCAGGCGAGCATTATGCGACGTCACCTGCGAGAGGGGGCGCCTACAGACCCCTATTCATTTGCCTAATTTTGGTCAATTTAACAAACTTCAGGAGAAATTATTGTGGCTTTGTCAGGGAGGGTGAAGCCTTCTGATCGAATTAACAGCATGTTTTGATCCGGTAAATGTCATTAGAAAGGGAGAAACAATCGCGCTTAGAGGGCTCTGAGTAATGCGCCCAAGTGGAGACGCCAAAGCGCACGGCTCACAAAGGGAGCAAGTAGCTGCCACAGGGAACTTTTGTACCCGCCCATCGCCCAAGTTTTGACACAAAAAGGCATTATTTCATACTTGAATACGTTTAATCCAACGATTGTCTATTTTCTGCAAACATATTTTCACAGCATTGTTAACTTTTTATGTCTCCCTTTCGCGGCCGTCTTTTCTTAACGTTTGGGGGCGGGAGAGCGCAGACACTTTGGGCATCAATATTTGTCACTGAAAAGGGCCCCGTGAAGTTTGGGAAGTTGATCTCTTTTTTATGGTTTTAGAAAGCGAAAATATCGGGGGGAGGAGGAGGGAGGGAAGGCACGAACAGAAACGAGGGAGGAAATTTGCTGGACGGGCCCAAGGGGAAGGAGGGGGGCGGCGGCGGCTGGGAACTCTCTTGGACGCCTGCGCCTCTGCGGGCAGCCTGGCCCCGCGGCCAGAGGCCTCCTCCCCCAGGACTGGCCTCGCTCACAATTGCTGCCTCGGATCCCATACTCTGGGGGCTCTGAGCTTGCGGGGTGTGGGTGTGGGGTGAGCTTTCCTGCAGATGATTTTTGTTTTATGGCCCTTTCTAGAGCCACCGAACTCTCACCTCTCTAATCTTCTCCATCTGGGAACAGCTGAGACCGCTTCTCACATCTTCTTCTTTTCTGCCTGCCCCCGACCCTGCCTATATTCTCTCTACTCTGCAGGGCAATGGCAGGGCCCAGCGCCCCCAATGGGGTCGTTAGACCTTGGCAGAGGTGGGTTGGCGGCTCTCCTCTCGTTGGTGGGACCTGGAAGCCTCAGGGCGCAGAGCCAGGCCTGGGGTGCCAGGCCTCCGGGAAGCCATCGGCCCACCTGCTTCGGCCTGGGAGGTGTGAGGGCGCGGTCTGCACCTCGCACCCCTAGGGTGTCCCTCTTGATCCTGCCTCCAGTCTCCTCACGACGTTTCTTTTCTGCTTCACGCCAGATTGGACACGATCCACACCCTCCCAGGTTACTCTGCCAGCGGAGAGTGCCCTCTCAGGGGTTGTCAATTTCAGGATATTCACTCGCACACAAAGGGATTAAACACGAACCCTTATCATCCAAATTAACTAACGTGAATGGGTAAAAGGGAGCGCGCACACTTCGCACTCCCACCCCCATTTTTAAGCCAGCGGCCCGAGCGTTGATCCTCTTACTGCCGGTGTTAACCGCCAGCTGCAGGCACCTTCCACCGGCCACATTTCATTCCATGCACAGTTTAATTTCCCGGGTTTGGTCTCGGCGCTGGGCTCAAGGCTTGCCCAGGGCCAAAAGTACCCGCGTGCAGGTGAGGAGGCAAGGGAAGGCGGGTGAGTGGAGACTTGGGCGCAGGTGCGCAGCCTCGCCCGGTCCTTCCGCTGCTGCAGCACTGCCTGCGGAACCTGGAACGGCCCCCGCTTCAGGATAGGGAAGGAAATACTTCCTTTCTCCCTTCTCGGCCCGGGTCTGGGTCACACACGCTGCCCCAGAGTGGGGCGCCTCACAGCTGTCTTCTCTTTGCTCCTCCTCAGGGGGGTGATCAGGAGTTCCCTGATCCTGACCTAGTTTCCGCACGAAATAAGAGCAGAGTAGGGAAGAGCCGAGGTTTGCTGGAGCCAGCCAGCCTGTTCAGATCCCAGCCCCACCGCCCACCAACTGGGCGAGACTTGAGGCATCTCCTGAATCTACTGTCCCTCAGTTTCCTCATCTGTAAAATGGAAATATTGTGTCTACTATGTTACCGGCTGGTCACTCCCGTGGAATAGGTAAATATAGACGAGGCACCTAAAAGAAGACTGGATGGTGCAGGTAGGGTTTTATTTTGCCTGCAAATCTCTCCTGCAGTGGCTCTTCTGTGTTTTATAGGGTAGTGTGGAGTTTGCACTGTTAGATGATTTTTCCACTCATTTCATTTTTTTGCCCTCATCCTGGAGAAAGCTCTAGCCCCCCTGAAAAAGTCACAGTAATTCCTCCTGAAGTTTGTTAAATTGACCTAAATCAGGCAAATGAATGGGGGCCTTTGGGCACCCAGGTGACATCACATAGTGCTACTGGCCAGCTGTGTACTCCCAGTGTGTGTGAGGCTGAAAGGGGCTCTAATCACAGGACCCTCTCAGCATCCTGAGACGCAAATATTAGCATCAAAATCAAAAGAAAGCTAGGAAGCAAGACTGCCTGGAAATTAGACAGTGCGTACTAAATATTACTCTGAGTTTGGCCTCCTGACATCTAAAGACCTCTACTGGAGAATACAGCAATCACAAGCCGACTGTGATTATCATTATCATTATTTTTAATATTAGTTATTTGGCCCCATAGGTTTGACATGTAGATTGCAAACACTGAAAGATGGTTTCTTTTGTGTTTCCTTCCAATTTTTAGAAACTGAGAATTTGTGGGCTTGGGGGAAGTGGATGGATGGAAAGAAAATAATACAGTAACTTTAGACAAATTGCACTAAGACAAAGAGTTCTGGGTAATTTCAAATCCCTCCCTCCACCCCTGCCTGCAATACACAAGTTGACTTTCTAGACACATTAACAGTACTGGAGATTTCATCAAATGTGAGGAGCCCTGGCTGAGAGCAGGAGAACACCAGCATGGCTGGCCCTACTGACTTCTGAGGTGCTGGGAAGATGAGGCCTGGAGGGAGCCCAACTCCCGGGCTCTGTTATGAAGTGAGCAGGATCTCAGGCTGCTCCCTCTGGAAGGGCCCACAGGAGCATGGCTCCAGCACCCCACTTCACGCTCAAGGGCCCTGGGGTACCATGAGGAGACTGGGATGCCTAATGGCAGGTGCCAGAGGCTGCCTGAAGTCTCCCATTTAGCATTTGTTGATTCTCTGTGTGAACTCCTCCAGGGCTGAGGAGGAAGGCTGGCTTCCTCCTGTCACTGTGAAGGAGGACTGGTCAGATTCCTGTGATTAGGGCTGGCAGCCGTTCTGTGGGACACCTGCTGCACGTGGCGCGCGTGTGTGTGTGTGTGTGTGTGTGTGTGTGTGTGTGTGATCATTCCCAGGAGGCATCCATTGCCAGGAGGCATCGGCTGCGTCTATGCCCCCGTTACTCCTTTTTCTACCTTTCATGAGTCCCATGGTAATGGCACATGGTAAGCATCCACAGTGAGTCCAAGCTGGCAATTCCAAGCAGAAAGGGACTTGGTCCTGCCTATTACAAATTTGCGCTTGAAGAAGGAAAAAGTATTCATACTGATGGTCCCAGGAGAGCAGTCTCCACACAACAGTCGCTCCCAATGTCTGTCGCAGCAGCCATGGGTGGCACTGGCTATCCTGTTGGGCTGGCAGCTTCTCTGGACTTTCCTCGCTCAGCACCTCTAATTCCTCTGCACTCTGGTCACCAGTAGTATTCTCAATCCAACAGCGATGCCACCAGGAAGAACCTGCCAGGAGATGCTTGTTGGTGCAGTCAGGTGGCAGTGAGAGGGCTCCTGGGGAGCACTTCGATCTCTCTAACCACGAGGACACACACTGAAGGTGTCTGCTGCTATCTGAAGCCCAGGCCTGAAAGGAACCCAGAAACATGAGAAACATGTATCCAATGCGAGGTGATTTCCCAGGGCTTTCATTTCTAGCCCCTCTGTTCTTGTCTCTGAAGCAGCTTAGTTCTTTGCTTTCCAGTGCTCTTTTTAGGTTTAGTACCTGGCAGTGAAGGTAGCAGCAGCGACCACAGTCGCTCATCAACACCACAACCTATCAAATGATTCAAGTG